ATGAGTAAACCCTCTTGAAAAAGATGCTCCCGCCAGTAAAGTTGTGCATGAACAGTCCAGAGTATCGCATCGCCCGGATGTTGGGCATCAAGTCGGCAACCAAGCCCGTGTACTTGCCGGGCTGCATTGATGTAGCCATCGTGTCTCAAGATCGTGTAGCAAAGTTGAAGTTTATCCTTTTATCCTATGTCCTGTGAGTGAGAAATGAGAAGGAGCTTAGTTCGTCCCAACTATTAATAATTATTATGTCATTTAATTTACTAAATTTGTAAAATTCTTTAATCTTTCTTCAACCTTTGTCAATAATTAAGCATCTCAACTTTTAAACACTTGTCAAACCACTGCGATTGCCCATTAATTAGCTTGACACCAATAATTGAATTGAAATTATTGTCGATTGATATTATCGCTGCTATCGCTAACTTGCCTCCTTCGAGTCCTCGATGGTAATGAAAACGCAAATCTCGAGCCACTAAAAGTTTGCTGGTAATTCAAATTTCCCTTCACTCATTCGTTGGTTAAATAAATACATAGCGAGTCCATGTAGATCCCAGACCTAGAGGAACGTGGTCTTTGAAAATAAAATTCACACGCAACGCCTACACCCAAAACTCCGGCTGCGCCTGACTGCTTTATACTCGCTCACGCTTAAATCTATGAAACATATTATTTTTGGCCCAGCTAAATATGCAGAGCTGTTGCGTTTTAACCATGTAATCTTAACATTATATACTTCAGTAGTAGTAGTAGAAGTCTTTACAGACATCATCATGACTGATAGTTCGCAAAACCAATATACTCATTTCAAATTGTGAGCGGGTATACAATCGGTGTTTCCAGGGGCCAAGTACATAAGGCAAGGACACGTCTACTCGACACTAGTTAAGACAAGCCGACTTTATTGGGCCTCTGTGCTCTGTTCCACTCTGCTCTACTCTTCTCTGTCCCTGACAGCTTGACCGTCTGTGCATGTTAATGAAAATCTATGGCCTATAGCTAGTGTATACAATTTTCAGTCAACCACAATGGACAGACTGTGAGATTCCCACAATTATAAAATAAGGTACAAAGTTTCGCCTCCTGCTGCTCCTGATAAATGTGTAATGTGCAATTGCGAAGTGTGCCATTGGCTTTCTGAGTTGTTTCATGAAAAATCTGTTTTATCCATACTTTAGGCACATCGATTTTTGTCGGTGGCGTCTTTGCTTAGCCAGATAAGAGCTGGTTGGATCCATTACATGTATCAACAACAACGTTATTAGTACAGAAGTAAAAGGCAAAGAGTTGATTTAATAATGCTTTAATATGCGTAAAATGAAGTGAATAACAAATTCTGGAATATAAACATTCGTACATTTGTGCATATGACTACAGTCGTCTGTGCGTACGACGGCCCGCAAGAAAAATTAGAAATCAATATCAAATATTCGAATCAAAACAGTTTCGTGTGCTTGTATGTGTTTCTATGTGTGTGTGTGCGTTGGTGTGTGTATTTGCCCCATTCTCCTTAAAATCTAAATTTATTCGCAAATTACTTTCGAGCTACGTGGCCTTCAGGAAATGGGGCCAGAACAAATGTTAAGCACAAGCGAACAATGACAACAACAACAACAACAACATGAGCAACAGCAATAACAAACTGATTGAAAGTACATGTAAGAAAATATCTCAACATATATGTGAATGTGTGGGTGTGTCGGTGTTTATGAATATATGTGTGTGTATGCTCACTGTTGGCAATTTAGCCTTTTTCCAGACAGATCTATCGCTTTTTCAGCTAACATACTCTTATCCTCCTTATCCTTGAGTAAAATATTGCGACATCGTTTTTACTAGCTCCGTTAGGGCAGTCGGATAAGCCATATAATTAATTGACATGTATCGAGCTGTATTCATCACTTTCTATTTTTATACTTGACTAAATCTATTGTGTCAAATAAATTTCGCTCTTGCTGTCCATTAAAGAATTAAGAAATTTGATACACGCGGTACATCATATTAATTTTAAATCCAATGAAATATTCTATGAAGAGTTTTTAGCAATGCATAAATATATTTATATTCAATAACGTCATATATATAGGAGAGATGTAAAGGTCGTAGCATACATAAATAAAGACTGCCTAATAAAAATACTTTGGTCATAAAAAAAAAAAGGTTTACTTAACTTCACTTAACAAAGCCCCCTTATAGTTATTTAAGCATTGGTATTCGTTGATAACAGCCTTATATAAGTTTATAAGTTTATATACGTATTTTCTTTCATTTCTTGTTGTCGGATTTACATTCTCCCCGAATTAAATTTTTGGCAACTATATGGAACTAAATGGATTCTAAGGTGATAAAAGGTGATTAAAAGGTTCGATATGAATTCATGGATATTTATTTCTTAATTAATTGTATTTTGCCTCGTTACTTAAATAGAATTTGTTTGTTACTCACTTAAATCCGAGTTTGTTACGATCGCAGCTGTAATTCCCAAGTTCCACATTCACCGAAAGATAAACAAAGTACTCTTATTAATCTCTCTTTCTTTCTCTTCCTCTCACTGTCTTGAAGAAGAAGATGGAGAAGAAAAAATGTAGAATAATACTCTTATCTAGCTCTCAGAAAAGGCCTTCACCCAATTCCCACGCCCTTGACTCGAAAATTCCGGCTCTCTCTGTCTCCAGCAAAACATAAACAAACCCTCCTTATCACACATACTCTCTCTCTTTCTCACTTTCCCACGCCATCTCTCTCATTCTCTCTTTCATTTGATAAATCGGAATTGCGATTATCAGCTGTTATTTTGGTTTAGATTTTTCCTATATATGAGGGAATATACTAGAAGTAAAATATTGCGTTATCATTTTTTAAAGCTGTGCTATCGCAATAAACTATAAATAATTATTGTATTTTGTATAGTCATTCAAGACCTGGTTTTGTACATTATTCTTATGTAAACTATCTATGCGTTATTGAAGCTAAAATTTGGAATATATACAAAAAAATTTCCGATCCGCTCACTAAAGGCACGGCAAATAAGAAAATGCATTTTCCGGTATCTCAGAAACCCTGGGATCAGAATCAGTATCGCAGTTTTTAAGCTTCTAACTTAAAATTTAACGCCTAAATTACAGTTACCATACTTTATTGGCTATATGTCAATTGGGGGTGTGGCAAATTGAATCTAGCAGCCTTTGAGCCGTAAAATGAATATTCTAGAGTCGATAGCTCCCGATATCAACACTCTTAATTGTTTTCATAATTATAAACAAATTCTTATATTGCTGCAGCTGTATCATTATCATTTACTAGATACATTTTAAGGACAAAGATGGTTATAAATCGCTACTACAAAAAAAAAAAAAAAAAAAAAAAAAAAAAAAAAAAACGGTTCAGCGTGAGAACTGAAGCCAGCGCCGAATCCTTCAAGCCCTGAGAGAAAATTTATTTTTTAAATAATAGAAAAGCAAATGTCAAATTTGCAGCTTTTTATTTAAATCCCATTGCCCACTTTATTCATTCTTTCATATATCCTGTTTTGCTGCTGGCAGAGTCAGTGATGCTGTCAGCGAAGCCAAAGAAATGTTGACATTGTCATCCCAAAATATGAATAGGAAAGCAGAGAAATTACGAAAAAATGGCATAAAAAGCGTACAATTTATTATATTATTTATTTCGTAGAAGTGCGAAAGATATCTAAAAATAAAATATCCAAAGAATAAGAGATCATAAATTCTAGCAGGGCGGCGGAGTACGTGCGTCTGCCTGCTTCTGTCTGTCACTTGCGTCTGCCGCTTTGTTGTCGCTGACAGTCAGACAGGAAGTGGGGGGAGGAAGCACCTTCATGGCTCCATGCCGAGACAGTGGCAAAAGTTTAACATTAGATTTATATGCTATTTGTTATTGCTGCTGTTGTTGTTGCGGCTGTTGTTGTTGTTGGCGGTCCTTTGGTATCGTATTCACTGCTCAGCATAAATCTTGGCGTCTGTGTGAGCGTGAGTGTGTGTGTGTGTGTCTCAGTGTGGGCGTGTAACCAGGTCAATGCTTTTACCAAACGTTTGGGCATATTCTCAAAAAAAAATATATATAAGAAGAAGCGCTCACTACTCTGCTACTCCTTATACAACATGCATATGTACTTTATTTGTGTCTGCGTCTGTGTGGGCGGATGGGTGGTTGGGTAGTTGGCTGTGTGGGTGGCAGCCTTGCGCTGCCTACCGCAAGGTTGTCAGCGCGCAAACTAAACACGATTTGGTCCTGCGGTTGTCAAAATAAGTAGATTATGGCCATTGTAGAAAATAGTTATTATTATTGTTGTTGTTACCAGTTTGGGACTCAAAGAAGTTATTCAGCTGCCCAGTGCGCATGTCGGCTAAAGAGAAACACGAAAGAGAAAGAGTAAGAGAAAGAGCCAGAGGAAAGCATAGTAGAAGAGGAGATTCAGTATAAGAGCTGTGCACTGAGGGAGACGGGCGAGATTTGCATGGTGCCAGATGGTTTCAGATTATATAAGTCTAGCGCAATCGCAGTGCCACAATTAGTTTATAACTATATGAGTGAATTCAAATAAAGACTATATTTATACATAGACTATAGGTAACTCAAGCTTTATTCTTTTAGTCTAGCTCAATGTCTACTTTGTTTTTTTTACCCATTAATTTATATGGATTACAGTTGAGTTCAAGGAAATCTAATTGAATAAAATTTTGATAAAAGTCCTTAGCACTATCAGTCAACCTGCTATAGTGGCAATAGTCTCATCTATGCATTTCTTAGCTATCTGGCAACTTCTGTTGTCGCTAATATTCCCCACGTGCACTACGCACGAAGCTATAAAAAACGCACAGCATATGCAACAAGGGTCACGCTACGCTCTCGACTGGGAGCTCTCTTTGGCTCTCTCTCAGACACAGATGCCAGACCAAGAACAGAGCACCAGCAGCAGCAGCAGCAGCAACAATGACAACAGCAACAACAACTGTTATAAGATCTCTTTATTTGAAATAACTTCGATTCGAAGCCAGTCAAAAATGGTCCACCGACGCGACATGAACCGTCAGCAGCTTCCGCAGCCGCAGCCTTGTTAGCCTCGGAAACCAAACTCGCAAAACGTGTACGTGTACGTGTGTGTGTGTGTGAGTTGTATCCATGTCCGTGCAAGTATCCATGTATGCGTTGCCAACAAAATCAGACCAAATGTGAAGTGGCAAAGTGCCCCAATATGTTCTTCCCGCTGCCTGGCGCTGCTGAAAGAACGCGACAAAAATAAATAGTTAAGCTTTTCAATAGTTATGCAAGCAAGCAAAATTCATATATGAGATATATGAGAGTTTTTTAAATTATAAATAAATAGACATATATTCGTATAGCATCGGACTAAAGCAAGAGCAGCAAAGCCATGGGAACTAGCATTAAAAAAGTTAAGCAAGAAAAGTTAGTATAAGTCTTTGTATGCGTGTGTTTGTGTGGGTGTGAGTTTCAGTGTCGGTGTGTGTGTGTGTGTGCGAGTCTGGGCGTGTGGGGGGAGTCGATATAGGTGTGTTTGTGCACGGATTTATGCAGCGTTAGTTACATAAGGTATCATCATTATCACAGCAGCAACAGAGACAACATCCTCAGCATCGATACCGCTTATTGGCGCGCATATGCCCCGACGATTTGGCCTCTGACCGAGCACATAACGAGCACATGCCCATGTCCATGCCCATGGCAATGAAATGATATACGAAAAACAAAAATAGCTTCAGCAGCAAATCTCTTAGCTTGAAGCCTATAATCCAAGTTGAGTGAACGACTTCAAGCTCTCCGTTTCTGAGAAATGCATTTGCAGACTATATTAAATATATTAGGAATTATCTGTATTGGCAAACTTTATTACCAGAATACATAATTTAACTCACTCCAAGTATAATTGATTGCTCTAGTTAATTGTCGTCTGTATGATATTTTATGCAGTGATTTAATATAAAAGTTGAACTGGGAAACTCCTCTTCTCTCTCGTTTAACTATCTTAATCAGCACACAAAAATCTTGAGCAAAAATTTAAGAGTGAATCAAAGAGAAATTCAAATTGAAATCAAAATGTATGTTTTGTATAATTTTTCCATGACACAGCGAAATGGCTGCATAGGGGACGCACGTGCTTGTTGTAGTCCTTTGTTAATTGCGACGAATTGAATCATGCTATAGACAGAGAAAAAGGTCGCCCCGAAGAGACAGCCACGTGACAGTAACAATAACAATAACTAAACGAGACCCTTAAGCTTTGACCCTTCAGCCAACCGATGGCAGCAGTTCTATTCCCGCAATCCTCTCCTGTTTAAACAATATTCAAAAAAAAAAAGAAGCAATAAAAAAGAAGGAATATATTGTGCTGCTGCCAGCATTAGACGAGTGCCAACTGAAGCTGCCACGGCCAAGCAACGCCGACAACAATACGAAACGTTAAATAAAAGACAACAATAACAGCAACAACAGCAGCAAACACAATAACAATCAAATGCATAATGATGATGGATTATCTGCTGTGTTGCTATCCCTGTGCAAAGCAAAAACAACACTCGCAGCATCAACACCAACAGCAACAGCAACAGCAACAACAACTAAAACTACAATAGCAACAACAATAATAGCAACTGCAGCTTCGCGGAACTAAAAGTGCAAGTCCAAGCTGCACTAAAGTATAAATAAAGGTTATTATACATTCTCTTTCTCCTCTCTTCCTCTATCTACTTTTTAGTTTTGCCTCCGGCTTGATCAAAAAGAACCGTTGCCCTTATAAATTGCATAAGTCTTTCATTTTCTTCTGCATTAATATTAATTAAAATTAAGTCAGTAATTCATACCCTAGAGCATGTGGATAGGGGATAGGTTTTATCTTCTAAGTCGGCTTTAAATATACACACTTTTATTAATGAATCAGCATGTTCTTAAAAACTCTTCATATATCCCATCCCCATGTATCATCTGATAAATTTAATGAACGACATTACTTGTTTCTTTTAGCGATCCAATTTCAATAAGCAATATATATCTAAATATGAAGATTTTATAAATAAATGAAGTGAAAAGGGAAAAAGTTTATTAAATAAGTACTTAATAAATAACGAATCTAATATCAAATAAAATTAGTTTTAGGTAAGAAATCACTTCCTGCTTTAGATTTGAATTCCGATTCAAACCCCTTTAAAAAGTGTACTAAAATCGTTGGTAATTTATATTTGGGAGTAATCTTAAGGATATCAGAGCTATAAAATTCATGAGACCAGCTCCAACTTGCAAGCCAATTTCTCTTCTATATAATTGAGGCTCTACAAAAGTAGCCCCCGAATATTGTTATCTATGAATATGAATTCCAATTAAATTAATTTCAATCGTGGTCAGTTCACATAAATTAATTACAAACTCGTTTCTCATTGAAAGAAAATAAGTCTTTCGATTTAGATTTTTAGTTGAAAACTATTGATTTGTGGCTGGCATAAAGAGGGGAAGGAATCGCCTTATAGTAGTAGTTGAGACCCTGCGACTAATTACCAAGGCAATTTAATGCCCGGCTAAGACACACATTTAATTTGGGACACGTCAATGGCTACGCGGCAGTGAAAGGAAACCCATGACAAAGACAACGACAGCGATTACGACAAAGACAAAGCCAATGAGTAAAAGAGACAGATATAGAGAATTTTGCTGACCATCACATTCATGCGAGCTCCAAATACATTATTAATGCAGTATACAAACTCACCACAACTGACAAGAAAAGTTCATTCTGACCTTCGGTTTAACTTTTCGAAATCCTGCATAAGGAATTCGTATTGGCATGTCAACGCACAGCAAAAGTCAAAGGATTTTTCACTGGCGGCAATCGAAACAATTAATACGACAATGACAATGCGAATGACAATCCTGTCCCCTGCCAGCTGCTAGACATCATTTGATGGTAGCTCATTTGATTGCCTAGCTAATTTTAAAAGCAAATTTTGGGCCTATTAAAAAGGGTTGACAGCTCAAAGAGGCTCTTTCATCAGTTATACATGGGCATTAAAAACAAATATAACATAAATTGATTGTAAAAAGTGACCAAAGGACAATGGAATCAATTCGTAATTTTAATCAAATAACAATATAGCAAGAGATGGGCTGAATTCCACCCGAGGAACTGAGTAATCATAGCTCCAAGTCTGTGAAGTTTATAGATATTATAGATATTTCAACATGTTTTTATTTAATATAATATATTATCATATATAATTTTCAATTATACTCATTCACGAAAGCTAAATGGGCGGTATGCCAGTAAAAATGCTATTTTAAGCCCTAAAGAATATAAATTTGAGTTGACAGTCCAAAATCAATAATCTCACATATATACGCCCATGTGGGAAGTGGCAGCGTTCTTAATTTCTTAATTTTTCACTTTATGTATATATATGTATATACTTCTAATTGCAAACATCTGATACGGGCAATTTTCTGTTTTCATTCTGTCAACAAATATAAATATTGGAAATTACTGGAAGCTTGACATCCTTTGAGCTATTTTAATAGCTTCGATATGTACACAGAATAAAATCAATATTTGATGTTTGCCTCTGCTAAAACGTTCAATTAGTAAGTCAATCCAAACCGTTTTATATCAACTCTCCCTCTGAATAGTTTAACTCCCAAAATGTGTTTTCAACAAGTCTTGTCAACAAGATTGATTATTGGCAATATTTGCCTAATTTGCAAATGAGTTGAGCACACGCCCCGAAAAACACACAACAAAAGCTAGCTTAATTGGCAGAATGTTAAGTAATTAGCTCGCAAGGCAAAAGGTGAGCTAATTTCATTTTCATTTTAGCAACGTTTACTCAGGGAGCACAAATTCCTGGAGAACAAAACGCATTAATTAAAAATTTAAGCCAAAGCAAAGCTCAATTATAATTTCATTAAACGCTCTTGCAGTGGCTTGCAGTTAGCTGCTCTGCCCACCTGGAGCTTTAGTAAGTAGTAGTAGCCAAAGGGACCGATAGCTCGCCACTAAGCTGCCAAGTCAATTACGTAATATGTATGTGTTCTAGACGAGCATTGCTGCAATCAGACGCCATTTTCAACACAAATTAAAATGCATTAGCGACACAAAATCGCACTCGCATTGCCAATGGCAATGGGATCGGGAATGGGAATGGGAGTGGCATTACGACATGAACATCCCACTTGGGAGAAACTAATCAAATAAATGGCATAACGCCTGCAACTGAATCACTGCTGCACGTTTGGGCCTCTGCCGTTTGGGCCAGTGCTGCCCATTTAGCCTTTTTCCGCAGAGATTCGTCCCTTTCACATCCGGAACCCATTGAAATTGGGAGCTAACTGAGCTAAGCGGCTTTATTATATTTTATGTAACATGCAAAAGGCGGATTGATGGAACCCATACGGTATACGGATTCATGATTTACATTGGAAATCGCTTCTTTATATTACGCTTCCGATATTACGTACGTCTTTATGAAATTTTAATGGAAGGTACAACACACATAAGTCGAACGTTTAGCAAAAAATCGATAGCTTTTGTTTTCAATTGATCAATATCAATCTTTAGTTATTTCAGCACCTCTTAAGTGCCACTGAGTTTCATATTTTGACTCATACAATTGATGATTAATGATATTTATAAATAATCAAATAATAATGCTGACTAATGAAAATAATTAATAATAAAATGATGGAATATCTGAAAAATTAAAATTTAGGGATGAAGGTAACAGGCAGAAATATGCCTGGCAGGTCTAATAAAATATGTATATTGACACGCTCGACCAACTGAGTAGATTTAACCAGTATGTGTAAGCGCATCGATGTAGAAATATTTACATTTTTGTTTTCATTTAGCTTAGAATTAGACTAAGATGCCGGAAGTATCCGAAATTTAAGGAAACTAATTAACTTTAAGGTCAGTTGCAAATAGAGTCGAGTCTCGATAAATTGTACCCCTTGCTGTAGTGACCGCTATAAGCGGAGTCATTGTAACCGGATTCTACTGTATATGTATATCATGCATAACTTCCTAACACGTAACATTTATTTAATTGCCGAAGGCACAGCAAAAGCTGTATGAATTTTCTTTATAAATATCCACACATACATTAAAATAAGTGAATACTATTTCCTTTGAAGTAATATTGCAATCCCAATTGCGATTGAATTGTGTTCAAATTATCATAATTATGTAATGGTCTGCATGGTAAAGATTGTAAAGGTGTGTATTGGAAGGATATGGGGAATTTTCTGTGAGTCACTCACATTGGTCGGACTTTAGGGTATCTTCTAGTCGAGAAACCCCAGCTATAGATTTCTAACTTGTTTTATTAAATTTCTTTCGATGCTTAGCTCTGATGTGTTTGTGTTCGATAGGCAGCTGGCAGCTGGTATACACACCTCCGGTTCAACATTCCACATGAGTCCACAGCATTCACATCCTCCAGCCGCAAACTGTATTAGCAAATGGCGAATTAGCATAAAGTAGGAGCTCTATGCTCGCTTGCCACACATTAATCATACGCCACATGTGCTGCTTATTGACTCTCGCTTAGAGGGAATACATCTAAGCTCTGGCTGTTGCTATCCACTTCGAGCTGCTAGTTTCTGCCCAGAAAAGTAGGCAATGAAAACTGGAAAGCTACTCAGAAAGACATTTATATGCAATTCCACTATGAAGATGAAGAGAGGCAGAGTCGAGCTGGAATGGATCTCATCAAATTCCCATTGAGCCCCAAAAGTCAACCACTCGGGCCAAATCGGCTGGATAATGCTAATAATATTAATAAACCATTTATTCAGCTGTACATAATTATTTGAATGATGGAAAATGATCTGATGGTCGTCTGTGCACGTTGTCCCTGCTTCCTCCCATTGACTTGTAAATCGTAGCAGTTGATGAAGGCCTCAGTATATGGATCATTTGGAATCGGTTTATTGGCTGACGATGGCTCTGCGCAATATGGATTGAGTATTGTCATTTGCTTGGCTTATAAATAAAATAAAAATTTGTAGACTTCGTGGCGTAAGCTTTATCGATAGCCAAAATTAAATGGAAACCGAATATTATTATGCTTCATCGCGCTGTACTGTGTGGGTGTGTGAGTGTGTCTGCATGTGTGTGTGTGTATGTGTGTGTGTGCAACGGGTGCCATTAGGCAAGCATCAGAACACGGTAATTTTACGGATTTGATATGTGGCATTTGAGGGATTTGGTTTCGGGTAAGTCCCAAGCTCCCTGCTCAGCCAGGCGCAAGCACAAAGACATAGGCGACGCGTGGGCGCTAGGGGCAAAGGGGCGTGGGTGGCAGTACGTGTTGCCAGGAAGTTATTTTTAGATTTACTCTCATTCGGCCACCCACGCGAGAAGAGCTTAGCAGCATCGCTTTGGGCCAGAAAATAGTTAAGTTGCCATTTGTGTAAAAGTGTTTGTCTGTGGGTGTGTCTGTCGTTGTCTGTCTGTGTATTGTATACTTACATATGTAGATCTGTGTGTGGAGAGAGTGTGCCCCATTCCGCATTATTATAGCGCGAATAAGCATACTTTGCTTTGCCTTGCCTTGGCTTGGCTTGTGTAGTCCTTCTTGTCTTGCCTTCACTGACCTCCTTTCTCCAGACACTCATGTCAACGTCCACAGCTGGGCTCGTGCCTCCTCTAATTAACCCTTTTATT